TTTTTAAAATAAACTATTCATTGAATAGCATAATTCTTTCTTGTTTATAATCATTTCATGTAGACTGTCACTTTTCTGATAACCTAAGTCCGGACGCTTGATAACGCAGCGACTGCAGGTTTTGAGCAAATTCGTGAGCATCTAATGCCACTGATCTGACAAAGAGTCGACTGCCAAGTTTTGTTACGAAGAGAAATGCAGTTGAGCTGATCTTTTGGGTTAGACCAATTTCACTGGGGCCAATTCCACAAATGACCTCGTGCCAAGTCGAGCTTGGGTTTACATGTTCAACTTGCAATTGACTTGCTTGCATTTCTATGAATCCTTGCCTCACTGGCGGCCACATTAAGTCTGACTCGGTTGTGAACGATGAGACTGGTAGAATCAAGTCTCCTCAGTTTCAAATCTGTTAGTGACTAAAGTGGATCAGAAGTCTGGATTAGGAAAAATGGCCCAAACACAAACAAATGACTACATGTTTTCGTTGTGTAGGCAGGATTTTGAGACTACCAACTCTTCAATTACGGGTTTTCTTACCACCTTAAACGAAATAGGGTGAATACATCTCATACAACTGATCACATGAATTTCTCTATGATTTTATAGACACTCCTGAGCAATGTCCGTAAGCCCTATGCTCTCCAAATAAGCAGTCACATTCATGACCGACTGCGCCTTTGATCAGATCAGGACTTCCGATGAGATTGGCACGCTGGACGAGCTGATCTGAGGCCAGCCATGTCCGCAGTGTGGCCAGCTGAGGCTCAGATTTCGGAAGTCTTGGCGTCATCTAAGCAGCTGTTTCGGCAACAGACTTGAAGAAATATTAACCTCGGAAACTATGGCAACAGTCGGAATTAATTAGGAGTATTCTTGGCTAGATTGTGTGGGGTTGTAAAGCATTAACAAGAAATGGCTTTGTATCCTGCCTGGCACTGTAAGATCAGATTTGCCAACTTCAAGAGAAGTCTCTTCGTTGGGTTTGCATCAGGACCATCTGCCCCGAGAAGAATTTAAAACTAACCTCCGGAAAAGATTCAGTCGCATGCATCATGTAAGCTCACAGTCTGTACTAACTTGAATACAAATCACACTTGGTCGTTTGGCTGATGAAAGGAGATATTGTGTTAGTTCGACCTCGTTTTCGCAACTTGGTCGGAGACAAACGAAGAGCTTGTGAAACTTACCTAGTCCTATGTCCTTTACCATAAGTTTATTATGATTTTTCAGGATACAATCGTTCACTTGGCATATTCCCCAGACATTCCGTCGGCATTGATAGTCAACAAAAACACGGAGCAAGGCATAAACTGACGAAATTTATCTGCCTTAACTTAAAGGAGGTGAGTGAAAGATTATGGAATACAGTGAATAATTCATACGATTAGGAATAAAGAAGCAAAAGCGCCAATTTGGAGAGGTGTACAGTCTTAGAGAAAAAAGCGCTCACGGCACAGGTGTAGCTCTATATTCTGGAAGCGGAGCGAAGCTAAAAAGATTTTCAGACTTAGTAATCAACCCAAAAGTAAGGATTACTT